TTTATAGGTTTTTAATTGAATTTTGGTTTTTCACATGTAAGCATAATGTGCTTAAACTTGGAAGCTTAGGACAATTTTTGGCACAATGTGCACCAGCTTTACCCGTGCATCTAAAAGTTATCATCGTTATTTTACATTTCGATTCTAGTTATCGTTGTTACTTTGCATTTTAATCTAGTTATCTTTGTTACTTGAGATTTTAATGAAGTCAATTTTATAATTACCGTATTCTCTCTAATAGTAGTGCACAGTGCAATTTAGGCACTGAGCGTTGCCTAAATTGCTCGAAATCTCGAAAAGTGCTTATCAGAACCTATCGATGTGGGGTCGGAAAGTGTAGCTGACGATGAGATCTAGTGGGAAATTAGAGTGTTGAGCTTCTGCGAAAACTTAGAAACCGTAAAATAACCGTATCATCAAATCGGCTCGGTGGGGTGCACTACTATTAGAGAGAATACGATACAGGGTTGCTGTACGTGAAAAATGAAAAACTTGGATAGCAGCGCCAATGCCAGTAGACATACTCGTTTATTCTGAAAACTAGGAGCTCAATTAAAAACTTATAAAAATTTTATCAAATTTGGAATCGGCGCAGTCAAAAACCTCTAATAAAGTGGTTTTCGAGCAAAAAAAGTGGCCCCTATAGGTGCATTAGTACCGAAAATGCCGTTAAAAACGTAACTTCGCTTTATCTTCTTTGTTTCCCGCAAAAACAAACGCGTCCACATCAGAAGAATGCTAAAAGAATAAAATGAAATGAACAAGAACGAAAGTAAGTGAAATTTCGCGCAAATTAGGAGGGCTATGGTAGTTTTACCGCGCTTTAAAGCGCCAAGCCAGGATTTTCTTGGAAAAAGGTCTCAAGTAAAAAAACCTGGCGCTCTGAATTCTTCATTTTCTCACGACATCAATCGTTGCTGCAAGAAAATGAAGAATTCAATGCACTAGGGTGCATTTACAGGTTTAAGCATTACAAAGGCCAAATTTGTTACAGTAATAAGTGAAATTATCTAGTTCTTAATTGAATCTCATTTGAAATCTTTTTCTATAAATGAAACGAAAATTCCCTTAATTTTTGATGGAATTAAAATTGCCCTAAGTCGAGTGTTCATAGAACGTTCAATTTCTTTTTCTAATAAGTTTAAAAGCGAATTTTTCAAGCTCACAGGCCTAATTAGCTTTAGAAATCTTTTCCAGGCCCAATTATCTTTAAAAATTCGAGAAATTTCTATTTTTGAGCTCAAAACAAAGTACACTTTTTGTAACTCTTTTCTGGAATTTCTGTGATTTGATCGTTACGTCAAAATGAGAAAAAATAACGGTTATAAAGTCAAATTCCTACGGGAATTCGAAAAGTTTATAAAGAATTAAAAATCAGAAATCAAATTTATAATATTCTGTTTATAATTTATGCAAAATAGTAAAGTGTTTGAGGATATGAAAGCTCTAAGCTCTGATTGAGTAAAGCTCTAAATCATTTAGGAAAAACGAAATGAGGACAGAGAAATCTAAAAGTGGATCTTCTTATATATGAGGGAGTGAAATTCGATCCATATTCCTCGTCATTTCTTCGCGAATTTTCACTATTCTTTTATTCTTGGGATTCTTTTTTGATTTGGAAATTCTTTTAGCTGAAAAATGATGAATGTGAAAGGGGATTTCGTTTGATAATGGATATGGCATTTGAGAATGGAAATGGAATAGGGAAGTGCCAAGAAGGTGGGTTGTGCAATCGGAGACGGACCCGGAGGATTTCAGAGTCGACTTGCTAATGAAATTCTATGATTTTAGTGCTTGTTCGTACTTAGTACAGGTCTGGTCACGGTAAATCGATTCTATGGTCTAAAGGCCAGGTCAGGTTACGATTTAGAAATGCCAAGAAATGGGATAGTGTAATGGGTTGCTGTTAGAGTGTCTTCATTGTGTCCTTAGAGTTCTTTTCCGTTATTTATCCGCCAAATTTGCACCCTTTCATGAAAATGAACAAGGAAAATCACAGAAAATTCATTCTTTTGCCATTTCCTGACGGCACGGTGGATTTATGTTTTGGTTACCGACTACCGAGGCCGATGAAATCTCGTTCTTTCAACAACGCCGCATCTTGCTTACTACTCGCACATGCGCCAACCATCACGTTATGAAGCTATCGCTCAATCAGAATCCCCGATGTAAAAAGTGACAAAACATGTCGGACAGCGATCGGCCTGCGTCATGGATGGAGGGCACCAAAATTCCGTTTCTCACAATCCTACGATTCATCTATGGATGGACTCAACAGTGGGCCTCGATCGACTATTGTGCGAAAGAATTGAAGATGAATCACAACACCGCAGTTGACTTCAACAACTACATGAGGGTTCTTTGCGTGGAATATCTGGTGAACAAGCCGAGCGGAAAGATTGGAGAACACAATCGAATCGTCGAAGTGGACGAGTCTCTCTTCTCGAAGCGGAAGGCGAATGTGGACCGCATCTTACCGCAAGTGTGGATATTTGGAAGATTTTGCCGAGACAATCGAACATCTATGGGGATCTGCAAAATGGAGAAACAAGAAGCATCGGGGCACGGCACGTCATTTCCTATCGAGCTACAGTACCGGCCAGAATAATATCAACCCTCCCGCAAAAACCCCATCCTTTTTTTCGGTGTGTAAACGTGGGAGTTACCCCCGAACACCATATATCTTCTGAAAGCTGAATTCATGGTCTGACAAGAAGTGGAAAAGGACGATTTCTACGAATGGATGTTGAATTGCTTGAACAATTGAATTTGCTTGCATAGATTCCTCATTGATCTTATTTTGATTATTAAAATGATCAGGGGTTATTTTTGCGGATGTATAACGGAAAAGTACCGTGTCTTCTTTCCTTAAATAATTCGTTTTCTAAAACGTCTCCCCTTTCTTTTCTCTAAATCTATCCACTTTTTATCTGATTCTATGAGGTTCACAAATGATATCAAAAGATATAAAAAGTGGATAGATTAGATAAAAAATAGATAGGGTTACGACTTCGCGACAAGACAAGACAAGATCTCGCGGCTTTGTACTCCTAAAACTTTAAAATATAATTAAAAATACCATTTGGAAATGAATTTAAAGTTATTTTCTTTTATGGAAAACTATTTGAAAAAAACTTTTTTGCAAAAAGGATTTGAACCCAAGTGGCAAAAAAGAATAGTTTCAGTAGGATTTCTCACTATCCACTAGGCCACCACTGCATATTTTTGATTCTAATGACGCGCGCTCAGAAAGGAGATCTAAAATTTGTTTGCAAAATGGGTGCTTTTAATCTCTTCTCATTTCTCATTTCTCATCTCTGTTATGAGGATAAAAATTACCATGCATGTAAATTTACACATTTAAAAGTGGCACCATAAAAAGAAACCAATATTAAACTCATTTTTATTCCAACATTGTCGCATTCGCTATGCAAAACGAAAACGACGCAATCGGATTTCTTAAATCAAAACGGATTTTACATCAACAACGGAACTGCTCAAACGGACATGCAATGGCTCTCTCCAAGGACTTGAAGTGACGATGTCGCAAAGCAATGTGTCGAACGAATATTGGAATCCGTACAGGAACTTGGTTTGAAGGCTCACGTTTACCGTTTCTCATGTCCGTACGTTTTATTCACCTGTGGTCCCAACAACTAACGAGTGTCTGATTTGGCGAAGTTGAACTCGAGATGAACCACATTACGACAGTCGACTTCAACAACTATATGCGCGAGCTCTGCCTTAACCGACTTATTTGACTGCAAAACCAAAGAAACCAATCGATCGCTGGAACTAAGGCTATAAGTTATAGCCTTTTGAAGATAAAAATGTGGTTTCTGTGTTATGGCGCACTATAACGTGGGTAAATTATCGTAATCCGAAAGAGAAAAAGAGCAAAATTAAATTTTTTTGCGACAATCCGGTCTTTTATTCGCGGTATCACTTATTTTCTATTTTGCGCTAAAATTACCGTATCCGAAATGCATATCATGAATTTGTGGGTGCCGCCATGGTCACCACCACAGTTTTTTTTGACCATAGAGACTTTGTGCTGGCATTATGGATTAATTAGAATAATATTCATAGAAATAACAGCCCTAGTCAGAAGTTTTATTGGTTATCAAAATTCAAGTTTTTCAAGCAACTCGACAATACGTCTACCTCAAATTCTTCAGGCTTCCTCAATGAGTGCATTCAGTGAGAAAATCATAGCTTTCTTTGTAGCTCATCAATTTGTTCGTTCTCTTGCTCAAATTTGCTATCCTTTTTGTTTTCTGACACTACTAGGAGAAATGACTCTCTTTTTGCTGTGATACGGGTACATTTTTGCCACATTTCTTCCATTATCGTTCTCGTAGTATCACATTGTTCCGCTCAAAGTGTGCAATAAATATTTGGATTGCATTCATTTTGAAAATACACTTTGATTTGAAGAGTTGAATGTCACGACAATAAAAAGATTGAGAGCAATTTAGCAAAAAAAGAGTGTGCAACGAAAGTTGAGTGAAGTGGAAATAATCAAGTGTCGTTACAAGAATTAAATTAAAATTAGATACTCAGTTCATAGCCTGAATCATTTTGTCTGATTAAAAATTACATAAATACGGTTTCGCTTCAATCTAGAATTCATTCTCTCTTTCTTGAATTTTGGCACTATGGGACATTTCGCTTATTGTACACCGAAAGTTTTAAAATTTAAACAAATCAGAAACTGGAGCGTTTCCTTTTAACATTGAGTCATTCATTAGCTGGTGGATCGACCCATAAGCTTGTGTCATCAAAGGTTGACCCGAATTCTTTGAATCTACCCTCTCCTACCCAGTTTCACATCAATTTTTCACTTTGCAGTTGTATTTTGTCAAACATTTCTTTAGCAACAATTCATTTCTTTATTTAGGCGAGAAGTTGCAACGAGGACCGCGATGTCGCATTCTCCGATGGATACACACCCCTATGGGAATCTTCATGCGCAAGACTTTGCGAGCACTTTCAGGCAGATGAATCCTTTCTTCAACTTGAGTGGCTGCGTTCAAAATGGTTGGTTTTAACATTTTGACTTTGAAATAATGAGTGGCACTGCGTGGAAGCTTCAAGAAATTGCGCATGTTTTAGCGCATAAACTTTCAGAACGCGTGCGTTATAAGTTATTGCATTTGAAATAGTAAGTGATGCCAGTTAAGGTAGCAATAATCTAAAGAAACATGGAACTTTATTTGTGAATAATGTTTTACCTTAGCTTTTCCTTCTCCTACAATGAAGACGATCACTCCAAGCTCAATTTTGCCATCTTCACTCCATGAAATGGGAGTTTCGTCACCGCTGAATGCCAGGATGTTATCGAATGTCGGCTACAATACTTTCCAAGACGTGGAGCATCTTCCCGAAGCGCTCGAAGAAACGGTCGATGGTGGACTTATGCCTGGAGTAAGTTTATACTTTTCTTTGTGCTTTCCCGAAGCGCAAGAATTAACAACCATTCTATTTTACTTGTTTGTTTAGATTCCCGTGATGCGACCACAACTTCCTTGCTTTCCGATCACAAACTTTGCCGACTACAATGTGAGCTTTCCAAGGACTGTCAACATGGAGATGCCAAGACATGTCGAAGCTGCTCACGAGGAAACGGTTCTCGGAGGGCACATTCCAGGGGTTTGTTGCTCGAACTTTTAACTAACTTTATGAGTTCAGCAGCCACCTCTTCAGCCGCTCCCTCAAACGAGCGATCAACAGGTGCTAACGGATGAGGAGCGAGAAGAGGCACTCAGGAAGAAAAGGTTGAGTCTGTTAGAGGTAAGTGTCATGACTGCTGTTATTTAGGAAAGAAGAGGCTTTCAAGACGGCCCTATGTGATGCATATCGACGAAACGGTAAATGCTCGTATGGGGATGCGTGTCGATTCGCTCACGGGGAACAAGAGCTCCGACTTCCCGCTCAACCAAAAGGAAAAGCTCATCCGAAGTATAAGACCCAGCTGTGCGACAAGTTCTCTCAATTCGGATGGTGTCCATACGGTCCAAAGTGTCAATTCATCCACAAGCTCAAGAAGGTTGGATTTTAATGATTTGCCAACATAGTCTTTTCATTTAGGGTCTCCCTATTGTCGAATATGACCGCTTGGTTACCTCTGGGGAACTTTCGCCTGCCAAGGACTGTGAAGTGCTTATTGTGGATCAGTCACCAATGAAAGCGTAGGTTCTCGTGCAATTTGTCGTCTTACATTATTTTTTAAGGGGCTGGCAAGAGCTGCGTCTTGATCAACCTCCACCTGCAATGTTGAAGAATCGCCGGAGCCGTGACATTCGCGCCAAAGAGGACCAGTCTGATCAGTTTCAAGCTGTCACTGCTGCTCTTCCTGGAAAGGTGCATTTCATTTGTTTCTAAACTCGATTTATTGCCTTTGCTAACTTCAAAGTTTTAGGTGGCTTTGCATGGAGTCAACGCGCAAATCATCGAGAGCACCCGCAAGAAAGCCCTTGAGAAGATGCTCCGCGAAGTGTTGCAACGTGAAAATGAGGAGAAGAGAGCCGCCGAACGCCGTGCTCAGCATGCTCGCGAGCAAATTAAATCCAACTTTCTGTGAATTCGCCCATTTTTGTTTTCTATTTTGTGATATGTTTTGCACTGCTAGATGACACTTAATGTATCTAGTGATTAATATTTCAGATTGTGAATTCTTCATTTCTGCTCATGTTATTTTGTGTTTTTTCTGTTAATATGCTTGTGCTATATGTCAAATATTTTCTTAGATTGTTTTTGTATGTGGGATCTTTTGTGGATAAAGCATCTGCTCTTTGAACGAGTGAACTGACTTTCAAAACGGTCTCGTCGTGAATGTGTTAATATACAGCCTATTAGATTAAAAGGACTTAGATAGGGTTGTCCAGAATTACGGGGACTGGGGCTATCTTTGATACGGTAGATTTTTGCTTACAATTTATTTAACTATTTACTTACTATATTTTCTCCAGAAATTTCTCTTTAGCAAAGCCAAGATGGCAGTGTACCGAGATGCGATCATCGACCTACACAAGCGTGGCGTTCTGGTGATGGATATCTCTAAGCGATTGATGATACGCAAACAACTTGTTTACAACGCGATCAAACGCTTGTTGTTTGTCGAAAAGCTCACTGGCACATTCCAGCCAAATGCCGAGAAGAGATTGAGCTTTAGTTAAAGAAATTGTACTAATAGTTTTAATTCAAGTTCGCTTTCGGTGTAAAACAATGGCCGGCTCCAATTGATGCTACGAAGTTTAGTGAGTAGATTTTTTCATTAAATTAGAAATCTTCATTTAGAAACGACTTTCCTAAAGCTAGACACGTGCAACAAATTCACCGCATGGAACAAGAAGGCCATCAAGGTATTTTTGGACGTTCTGGGGTAAGGAGCAATTGTGTAAGGTACCTTTATTTATGGTGGCTTCAGTTAATTTCTGCTTACTAGGGAACAGTCGGATCGTCGGAACGGCGATTATTATTAAATGATGTTAAATGTTATATTTTAATGAAATAAACAACAAAAAGCTCTTTTAAATAATTTTTTTACAAGGAAAATCGTCAAAAATCCTCAAAAATGGCAGCAGTGCACACACTAGTGACCGAGTAGTGCCCACACTCAAAAGTTTGTCACATGAGTTGTGTGACTCGAATTCCAAAGCTTTTGGTATGTAAATGTAGCCAAGTTTCCGGGCTTTAAATCTCTATATAATCCTTAACATTCTTAAAATAAGTTAGATATTTGCTAGTTGTTTTTACAAAAAGTTATGCCAGAACTTTTGGGGCACTCTTTAAAAATACTTTTGTCTTCTATAAAGTGTTTATTTATGTGTTTTTCTATTTATTTTATTTGTGTTATATGGTGCTTTTTGTTTATATGTTTATTTGAAATAAAACACTTAAAAAAAAAGCTTTTATTTGTGCTTTGTAATGATTTTGAAAATGAGTGCAAGTTTATTCAAAAAAACAATTGAATATTTATCGACCTAAAAGTTTTCAATCTTCGTTCAATTGGAATCTCTGCTGTGAAAGCGACAAAATATGAGAAATTCGACAATTCACCCACCAAATACATCAAATTTTTCTCATCGCTAACTCGTTTTTGAAAAAATCTCTTTTCAACAAAACTTTTGATAGAGATTCTCGAAAAATCCGTGTTTTTCTCTCCAATTTTACATTTTTCCACAAAAAACTCTGTCAATTGATCTTTTTTGTCAGCAATCTCGAAGAAATCGCTTCCCAGATTTTCCATAAAAGATCTTCTCAAGATGGCTAGCGCAATCTTTCGATTTTTGCCCATAAAGTGCAATCACTTGGCCATCGGCTGGATTCCCATTGCTCAACAGAAATTGTAATGACTCAAAAAATCCTCCATTTGAATTCAATCCTCCATTTATATCCAATCCTTCATTTAAATCCAATCCTCTATTTATATCCAATCCTCCATTCAAATCCTCCAATCTTCCAGCATCCACAAAAAGAAGATCAAGAGAAAAATTGTTTAATTGAGACCAAATTTTCGAGAGTTTTCCTGGTTTTTGTAGAAAAAGTCGTCGACAATCGTATTGCGGCTTTTTCAGAAAGTTTTCTAGATAATTTTTGGGCATTTCACGAGATTGATCTCGAAATTTTAGGAAAAGATTCTCGGAAAGAGAAAAATTGAGAGAAAACACGAAATTCGCTGTCATTAAAAATGGCTTAATGGACAGTGAGAGGGAACGGATAAAGTAAAGATTTTGAAAATATTTTGAAATCCAAAGAGGACGACAATTCTCCTCATCATCCTCGATTTCAATATCTAGAGTTTCTGTGCTCCGAATTTTCGCAAATAAACTCCCAGCGGATTCGATTCGATAAATGAAAGTGCTGGTCTTTTTGAATTGCTCTCTTTTTTGCGCTCCTGGCACACATTTCCATGAGGGTAGCGTTGGCTTTTTTGTTGGAATCACCAAATCGATGTCGCCAAATGCAAAACAATGAGCGTGATTTTTGTTGATTGCAGCTGAATCTCTAATTGCTATGATCGCTCTCTCCGTTGCTCCGTCTTCTTTTCTCAAATCGATAAAAAGACCAATCTTTTTCAACTTTTTCCCTTTCAAAATTCCAGTGCTTAAAATTTTCTTTCGAGTTTCCTTTGTCACATTTAACATTTTAATTGATTCATCAATTGGTAAACAGTAGAGAATTGAATTTTTGAGAAAATCGGGAAGAAGTGAGAATTGAAAAGCAGCCAAAGCAGCCATTTTCAGAAAAAATCCTTTTGAAAAGCGTTTATAGTTTGAAAATATTGCTCAACTGCTCAATATTTGCTCAACTTTTACTACATTACACAACCTTGAACACTTGAAAGAGCGCGGAAAAAGGGAAACGTTCAAATGATGAAGGAAAAGACACGAGTTGTGAGGAGAAACATTCAGTGACGTTAAAACATAAAGCATTAGGCATAAAACAAACATATACTCGATGCCATTCGACGCAGAATTACACACTGATTCCGAATATGATTTCAGTTTTTGCTATGCGCTACCCTATCAAAAGTTATACGAGTTTAAAGTTTACGGTAATGAAATACTTTTTGCTATGCGCTACCCTATCGCTGCCATGTACTACCGTATTCTCTCTAATAGTAGTGCACCACGCCGAGCCGAGTTGATGACTATTTTACATTTTTACGAGTAATTTCTTGGAGTCGACTTGGAGAATAATAGAACAAAATGTTCTTTAATTGATGGATTTGTTTTTAAGAAATTCTAGTCAAACTTTTTCCGAGAACAATTTCAAAATCAATTTAGAATATTCAAAATGAAACTTTCTTCATACCGCTCGCAGCTTCAAACATGTAATGGTGCTTTATTCCTTGCTTTTGATAACGATGCAGTCGTTTATCGATCTAGATATCTTTTAGATATTGTATACCGTATTCTCTCTAATAGTAGTGCGCACTACTATCTATTCAACCCCCTCCTGGACCGCAATACTATTAGAGAGTGCACTACTATTAGAGAGAATACGGTATTCGAAATTAAACCTTATCGGGTCCAATCATTTCGCCAAGATATTCCATGATGAATGCACCGCGGAATTGATTATGAATTAAAAGTATCAAAAAGGTACTCACCTTCTTATGAATTTTCGTTCGTACCTTCGTACACCTTCGTACTTCAGATCCCTTAAGGCCTGCATTCAAAGCCTTTCTTTCTAACCTAATATTAACAAAGATTAAGTGTTAGAGTTGAGGGTAAAAGTTACATGTTAGCATTGAAAAAAGTATATTAGCATTCAATACTTAATAAGTGTCAAAAGTTGATTAAAAAAGGACAAACAAAACTGGTTTCAGTTTGCGACAGATTCTGTTATCTAGATTCAATACCGTATTCTCTCTAATAGTAGTGGACCCTGAGCGTTGTCTAAATTGCTCGAAATCTCGAAAAGCGCTTATCAGAACCTATCGTTGTGGGGTCGAAAAATGTAGCTGACGATGAGATCTTGACGATGATTAGAGTGCTGAGCCTCTGGGAAAACTTTGGAAGCCGTAAATAGTCATCAACTCGGCTCGGCTGCACAAGGTGGACTACTATTAGAGAGAATACGATTACTATACTATCGGTAGATAGGCATACTATCGATAGATAGGTACACTATCGATAGATAGGTACACTATCGATTTTTTATACACTATCGATGAAACGATAGATCTAGTGAAACGATAGATCTAGTGAAACGATAGATCTAGTGAAACGATAGATCTAGTGAAATGATAGATCTAGTGAAATGATAGATCTAGTGAAATGATAGATCTAGTGAAATGATAGATCTAGTGAAATCATAGATCTAGTGAAATCATAGATCTAGTGAAATCATAGATCTAGTGAAATCATAGATCTAGTGAAATCATAGATCTAGTGAAATGATAGATCTAGTGAAATCATAGATCTAGTGAAATCATAGATCTAGTGAAATCATAGATCTAGTGAAATCATAGATCTAGTGAAATCATAGATCTAGTGAAATGATAGATCTAGTGAAATCATAGATCTAGTGAAATCATAGATCTAGTGAAATCATAGATCTAGTGAAATCATAGATCTAGTGAAATGATAGATCTATGGAAATCTATCGAAATTCGCTAGATTTACCCCCTTGATTTACAATCTTTATAATCTTGAATAACTCTTTCAATTTTAACATTTTTTTGCTAGCTTTTTTTTGGATTTTTAGAAACTAGATGTAATTCTGTTTTTTCTAATACAACAGTAATGTTATTCCTATGAAAGATAGGAATGAGATGAGTAGAAAAGAAACTATGAATAGAAAAGAAAAGGTGAGTAAAAAAGAAAAGATGAGCAGAAAACGCTACTAATTTCTGAAAGTTTAGTCTTGTTTGACTTAGATAACTAGCCAGTTTTACTTAGATAACTAGCCAAAATCATTTTTATATGAGCAGGCGCAGAATTTCATCCAGTTTCTAGGAACTAAAAAAGCTAGCAAAAAATGTTAACTAATTCTCTACAAAATGACATTTAAAAGAGACCTCAAGCCGCTCAGCTCAACAAAAAGCAATCTATAAACTGTCATCTAAAG